AATTGGCCAACTATGTCCAATAGTTTTCTTGCTGAGTCTTTAGGGTTTTGTAAGTATACTATCATTTGCATAGGGAGATAATTTTACCTCCTCTTTGCCAATTTGGATACCTCTTATTTCCTTCTCTTGCCTTATTGCTATTGCTAAGACTTCCAATACAATATTGAATAAGAAGAGGTGATAGTGGGCATCTTTGCCTAGTTCCTGTTCTTAAAGGGAATGCCTTTAACCTCTCTCCATTGAGAACAATGCTGGCTCTAGGGTTTTCATAAATACTTTTTACTATGTTGAAGAAATTTCCCTCTAATCCTATTTTGTTGAGTGTTTTAATCAGGAAAGGTGTTGGATTTTGTCAAAGGCCTTTTCTGCACCAGTTGATAAGATCACGTGGTTCTTGTTCTTTGCTTTGTTAATGTGATGAATTATTTATTTTTTTTAAATGTTGAACCATCCTTGCACACCTGTTATGAATCCCACTTGGTCATTGGTGAAGTTTTTCTTTGACGTTTTGTCCTTTCTAAGTTTTGGTAACGTTTTATATATTTTGCATGCCTTTAATTTGGTGCATAGATACTACGTCTTCTTGTTCTATTGACACTTTAATCATTATGTAATTACCTTCTTTGTCCTTTATGATGGTTTTTGCATTGAAATCTATTTTATCCAAGATTGTTATCACTACTTCTGCTTTTTTCTGGTTCCCATTTGCTTGGTATATTTTTTCCATCCTTTTCTTTATCTTCATTCTTCAGGTGTGTCTCCTGTAGAAAGCATATTGATTTTTTTTTATCCAATCTTTTTCTCTTCAGTGGTACATTTAAACCATTTACATTGTATAATTATTGAGAGGCAAGGTTTTGTTGCTATCATTTTGTTCTTTTTGGTGTTATCACTAGTTACTTTGGTCCATCCTACTTTCTGTGGCACCTAAGGTCTTTCAGTGTTTCCTGCAACACTGGTCTTGTTTTTACAAACTGCCTTAGATTTTTTCTGGCAATATTTTGCTCTCTCCTTCCTATCTGATGGACAGCTTTGCTGAGTACAGCATTCTTGGCTGACAGTTGTGTTCTTTGCTATACATGTCATTCCACTGTCTTCTTGTTCACATGGTTTCTGCTGAGAAATCAGCATTTAATCTTATTTGCTCTCCCTTATAGGCTACTCTTTGTTTTGCTCACTGCTTTCAGAATTCTCTCATCTTTGGTTCTGGCAAATTTGACTATATCTTGATTTTTTTTTTCTTTTGAAGTCTATTCCATATGGTGTTTGCTCAGCTTCTTGAATCTAAAAGTCTTTAAATTTGTTGGACTGCTGACCTTTTTTGGTTAGCAGCTCAACATGTAACCCAAGTCCCAGTTCCTTCTATCAAGTTATGTATACTTATAGAAATGAAGCCACACTCATTAGAGTTCTAATGAATGACAAATTCTAAAAACTGTAAACTCAGTCTCTCCGACTAGCTGTCATAATGTTGAGATATAAAAATGAATATGAGATATATGCTTTTAAGATGTATTGTAAAAATATAGTTGTTGATTTAGCTATACTGGATCTTTATATTAAGATACATATTGTAGGTTTTAGAAATATGATGTTGATATACTTGATGGATATTGATGCTGGATGATTGAGGAAGCCAGAAGTTTATTTGTGCTGCTGAACCTAGACTTTCACTTGTTGATTGGAAAGCTGTCTGAACAAATTGAAAAAAAAAAATCAACTCTGTATGTAAGTTCGAATAGGTAGTTTATATCTAACATCAGTCAAATGGTTGTATCTTGACTTAATATAGTATACCTTTCTAAGTATAAAAGGCAAACACCGCTAGATACAGAATTATCTTTAGCACAGTAATATTTGGTGTGCACTGCAAAGTCATATCCACGTGTTCTTATGAACCATTGTTGTTGTTGTGTGAAGTTGAGTTGTAACAGACTCATAGCTGGCCTTCCAGTGGGTTTTCAGAAGTAGCAAGTAAATCGTATGGGAGCAGATTGCCCATCTTCATCTTGTGAAGCAGCTGGCAGATGTGCTTTTTGGTTGCCAGTGTAGCTCCTTACCACTAGGCCACCAGTCTCCCAAATCATTGTTGCTGTGTGTGGTTGAGTTGGAATGCAGTCATAGCTGACCCTCCAGTGGGTTTTCAGAGTTTGTAAAATGCACAGGAAGAGATTGTCCATTCTTCTCCCCTGGAGAAACTGGTGGATTTGAACTGCATGTGTTTTGAGTTTATAGTGTAGCTTACCACTAGGCTAACAGAGGTAATTTAAACATTGTATTTCTCTTCAATTTATAAACTTTACAAGGGTTGGGATGATGGACATACATACAGTTGGACAATAGAACAAACCAGAAGCCAGTAACCAGTGAGTCAATTCCCACTCATACCAACCCTACAGGACAGAGAAGGGTCCTATAGTGTTTCCATGGCTGTATTCTTCACAGTATATGCCTATAGTTATCTTTTCTTTAATATAGACTTTATAGCAAAAAACCTGTTCGTCTGGCTGACTCCACTTCAAAAGGGTAAGTGCTATCCTTATCACTGGAATGAATGGCTGATTATATGCCTTATAGATGAGGATTCTTCAGTCTCATGATGAAGTTCCATGAAAAAAGACAGGATTAAGGTTTACATGTCACTGTCTGAAGGCTTTGATAGAAGAGTGTATTTATTTCAAACAGCTAACAAAATGCTGCTTAGCAGAAAAAAGTAAAACATATGCAGGATTCCTGAAGTTGGTTTCACCTTTAAAGGAGGAGTTGCTATTAAAAAAAAATCAGTATATAACAAACTAAAAACTTGAATCCCTTATGATGGATTAGACTATCCTACAGTGTTCCCACAGCTGTACCCTGTACAGAAGTAGACTTGTGTAAAACAGAAGCATCTTCTCCTCAGAGAGCATCTCCAAGTTTGATAGCTGGTGGGCTAGAATTGACAACCTTTCAATTTGTAGTCAAGTCCTAACCACTGTGTCATGAAAGTGCAATAAAGGTCTTATCGAAGATCAGTTTTAATAAGGCAAGACTGAACCCAAAGACATTCTCTGTGTTCTAACCTTAGATTCTTTTGACCTTAACTGGTTTAACATTGAATATTCTAATCAATACTCAAGAGAATCAGCATAGCGTGTACACAAAATAGAGAAAAAAATTTTAATGGTATAAAAAAATAGAAGTTTTTGGCCAATTTAGTACTTACGTAAATAAAGTTGCAAAGTGTTACTCAGTAACTGACTTAGCTTCTAAATCAAACCAGAATTACATATTACTACGTATATTACTTGAGTATATACAAATACATCCTGTGATGACATGCACACACAGAAACGAGATCACTCTAAAATTAAAACCACTTTCTTGATTGATAAAGTAATGTACTCAAAACAAAATACTTGTCCAGTAATGGAGAAGGTCTCATTTTGAAGTGTGTTTGGATGATTCCCTTTTTCCTAAGGATTTAAAAAAGCTGAAAGAGGTGAAAATGTGACTTGGTATTGTCAATGACAATAAAAAAGGAAACAGATACGTTCCTTTGGCTCTGAGAATCTATTTTTCTTTTTTATTCAATGATATCAAATGAAAAGGTGTGATAGACGTTTTCTCAGGCAAAAAGGGATTTTCACATTCCAGTGGTAAAGGAGTCCTGTAAAGCTTTCAGGCATTTGAGTTCACACCACCATAGCAACTTATTAAGTACCTTTAGTGATACAGTCATATGAAATGAGTTTCATTTTCCTGAGAACTAAATTAGACCTACGAAATAAACAGGCTATGAAAATGACCTGAGTTCATAGGAATCTCTAAATTTTAAATCAAAGAGTCTCCAGCTTTGCTAAGATCCCATTAAAAGCCTTTTATAGCAAGGGTTTCTTAGTGAGTCATGTACTTGGTCATGGAGGCTTAAGATTTCTTAAACATTAAAAAGTAGTCATTTACTTTGTGCAAATTCAATTAAAGGCCAAAACAGACAAGAGTACTAATGGTGCAGAGTGAAATCTACAGCAAGCCACAGACTCTACTTTCTTATAAAGAAAGGAGTAGGTGAGATGTGCATTTGATCCACTTTGCTCCCGATTTGACAATTATTGGAAAGCTAAGAAAATCCTTGCATGGTAAGCAAAGACAGCACCTTAAGTGGAACCTATACGGAGTCACTCAAAAGTGACAGTTGGTTGTGGCAGAGATGGCTACCAATGTCTAAGTGTCTCTTTGTGTCTGACAGCCCAAGAATGTGTAAGACAAGTAGGGTAAGATAGTGGCTTCATAGCTATTTTTCCAAGCTATAGATTGCAACTTCTATTATTATTATTGTGATTACCGTGTGCAAACTACTAAGAGGTCATATGTGAATTATTAATCACTCAACGGCATATAAAAGAATATGGTTTGACTTCAATCTAAACTCTTCTGATTTGTTATATAATTCAAGGCACTTTAAATGTTTGGTGCCTCAGTGTATTAACATGTAACATGACAATAACACTCATTTACTTACCTCCTGGAGCTACTACATAGACTACTGACTGTAACTTCTTAAAGCACTTTGAGCTCCTCAGATGAAAAGCACTGTGGAAACAATCAGCTCAGGAAAATGCCTCTAGTGCCTCAGAACGCTGATCTATTGCTGCCTTATGTCTCAAACATGTTTTTCTAAACACTTAAAGAATAAAATTTGTTAGTGGCATTCAATCTGCATCAGTAAATTATTTGGCACACCAATATTTATACATTTATAGTTATCAAATTTCATATGCCAGAGATATTTTCTAATTTTTCAATAAAGTTAATGAAATGTACCCACTATGGAGCACTCTATGCCAAGTTTAGCAAACTTTAAGTTTTCTGTGAGGTACATGTGACATAACAAAAAAATTAATTTCCCCCCCCAAAAATGAACTAATGTTATTTGTGTGAAGTCACAAATTTTTAATGGAAAAAAATACTGAAAGTATGCCACAGTGTCTACATATTCATCTGAAGAGTACAAAGATAGAGAGGGAAAAAAAGAACACCATAGAAAATAAACGTGGTTCTTGAATTATTGTCAAAGTAAACAGTAAAAAAAGGTAATGTTTCATACACTGAAATAAACAGTTAGAGGTAATAAATTATATATACAATAGTTAAAATGTTTCTTTTTTAGCATTAGTTTTCCTAAAGTTAAGTTAGAAATATTTTAAACCAGTTATACTGCTTTTTTAATGGGATGGTGGAAATGGAGGTTTTCATAGAAATCGAAAACAATACCATTTTGTGGTTTTTACATAGAAAACACTGGATCTTGACTAGATTCAGAACATGTTTTGATTAATACATTAGATCTAGCCCATTAGTATACTTTTCTATCTGGAAGAAATGGAAGTGTGATTTATATCCTTCGTGCAGTTCACCTAAACCTTCCTTCCTTCCCTCCAAGTCTTGTTTGATGCTCTGCAGGGGGTTCTATCAGATTCATAATCAAAAGGATTTAAACCATAACTTCTTTAGGTCTCAAAAAGTTTCTTTTTTTAAAAAATAAAATAAGGTGCTTTTAAATGCAAATATTTCTTGACTCAAACAAAATCAAAACATACGTAAGCCCGACATCTCCATGTCCTGACACACATTTTTAACAGAAAAAAAAATCAGTTTGGGGACATTGATGTCCTTCAAAAGTTCAGAGTGGATCGAAACTGGGCTTTGCATCATTATGGTGCTCATGTTTGTACATGAAGGTTAAAATAAAGAGAGCAACATCCAAAGATGACCAATAGGCAGTGTGCGATGTGACAGCTGACCAATAACGGCTCTCCACAAGGCCTTCTCGGAGTTCAAAATCAATCCTGTGATCCAGTTCCACTAAAAAGAAAAGAAATGAAACAAATGAATAAAGATTTTAATAAAGTATACTGACCTATCATAGAATAAAAATTTAGCTAGTAAAAGTATTATTCTTTAAATTGCCTTTTCTTTTTTTAAAAAAATTTCCCCTCCACTTTAATCTTAGGGGATAATACAATCAACAGTCTCAACAGCTCAGGATTCTCTCTGGTGAAGTCTTTTTCCTTTATATTCTTAGATCAATATGACTCCTTGGAATCATAGGATTCCACAAAGGAAAACAAAAATTAATTTGCCAGCAACACAGTATGAGAGAATATAACTGGAGTCAAAACACAGGGCTTCATTCTTGGATTTACCATTTGTAATCTTTGTCCCTAATCTGTAAAATAAGGCAAATATCCCCTCAAAAACTGGAGCAATAATGCTGTGAGCTCCTTTATTCTGGACATCCCGTGTCACTGAGTAGTAAAAATGGTCTCAGTTGCTAATGCAAAGTTTACAAATTCATGTCTACCAGGGGCACTTCAGAAGAAAAATCTGCATTTTTTTTTCTTCTGAAAAATTAGCCAGTGAAAATCTTTTGCAGCAGAGTTCTCTGACACCATGGGGCTGCCATGAGTTGGAGGACTTGAAGGTAACTCATTTTATAAAGCAACTAACTCTGAGGAGGATATATTAGAAGTATTTTTTTTTAAATAACTACAGACTATCTTCTTACTCAAGAGACTAACCTCTTTAAAGGCAGCTACCATAGAAATTTAATCTCCATTCATTAGTAGTGCCGTAACACTATGCTTGGAATAGAAAAATGTCATTAAAAGTCCATTTAATTAAAGAAGAATCTAATAGGTAAAGAGAACAAACAATGATAATTCTTAGAAGGAAAGACTGCTAATTAACACCCCTGTGCTCCATCAATTCAGTAAATTCAATCATCTTTGCTAAAATTCAAATTAAAAAAGTCGTTGCAATCCTAGTTAGAAAAGACTTATTATAGCAAATAACAGCTATAAATGATTCTTACTGGTTTCATCTATGAAATTATTTAGAGATAAACACTTAGAAAATTATCATTCCATCTACAGGAAACCCTTTAAAATGGCCAATGGGTTACACAGTATTTTGAAAGGTCTACTTTATACTCCAGGGTACTCTGGTGGCTTCGTGGTAGGAGTTACACTACAGGAGAAGCTGGGAAATCTCCTTCTGTGTGATTTATTCCCTCTGAAAACCTGCTGGAGGGTCATATATGAGTCAATTTCAACTGTATGGTACACAACAACAATCTTATAGTCCAAGGAGTATCATCTACATGGTTATTAATTTGTCATTTGGGGGTTTAAACACTTAGGTTCTTTTTTTCCCCTCAATTATTTTTTATTCTGAGAAGGAATATTTGGTAATTTAGTTATACATTTTCAGAGAATGTTCATACTTAACAGGAATAAATACTTGACTATAAAATATTGAGCTAGATCGTAAAAAAATCAACTTACTCTTTCCTCATTTAAATTATTACAATAAAATAATTCTTAACAGGTCAAAAAGTTTAAATCATTATGTCAACCTGAAGGGAGCATGTCCCTCTTATGTTTTGCTTGCTGTATACATGTGTTAAATTTATAGGTTTATTTTGGTCCGTCAGAAGGGAATATGATAAAGAAGCAGAAGCTGGAATTCTCAAGTGTGATGAAGGCGAGTCAAGATGAAGTTGGTTACAAAGAAAGAAGAAAGAAGAGGAAAAATAGAAAAGATGAGAAACATACATGTTAATCATTGGTGAAAACCAGTAAGGCACAGCATCTAAGCATTCATTTGCCACTGCTCCAAAGTAATGATGCCTTGTCAAATAATCTTTCAAATGCTGTTTAAAAGTCAAAGGGAAATTTTAGCTGTTATACGAGTATTATTTGGCTCCACTTCAATGTCCCTGAAATGTATTCTCAGTTTGCTGTTGCTGTGGTGAAATGTGTCTTTTATATAACAGTCACACAACTGTTAAAATTATTACTATATTATGTGCCCTTATCATTCCTAACCCTACAGAGACTTTAAAGAATGATAGGGGGTAAAAAAAAAATCAGTGATAGGCTATGTCCTGTGAGATGAGCTCTTGGACAACATAGGTGCAAATCTGCATGGAGTTGTCTTAGACCAACTTTCTCACACACACCGTATTGAGAATGGGTGGCATTATGTAGGCTGAGCTGGAAATTTTGCCTCATTTCTTTCACTGAGTTAGGTCAAAGAGAAAATGGTACATCGATCCATCACTTTCTCATCTTCTCTCTGGAGTAGCTAAATACTAGAATTACTTTATTACAAAGAAAGAATAGAACATGAGAAAAAGATTGGCTTTTAACAATCATTAGGAGCTTGCTTGTGTTGTTTAAACCATTAATCTTTTTTTTTCCTTTTTTTGGAGGATGATACATAAAGCAATACTGTCCTCATTCTACAGAGCTGAATGTTTAAGGTAAACTGACATTAACACAAGTATGCTTTCTCTAGAGAACAGATTTGTACACAAGATTTGTCATCATGCACATAAGATTACAGAATAGCTGACATTTATCAACAGAAAAGAAGCATCTTCATATTACAATATATACTAATTGGGCAGGCTTTTGAATACAAAATCTTAATGGAAGATCTTAAAGAAAATTTTACTGAAACCTAAAAGCTATTTGTAAGTAATAATTATGGTCATAATTGTATGATATTTGTCTGTAGGAAGACATCAAGAAAAATAAAGTACTAGCAGAGGATACTCTAAAAATGCTTCCAAATTATTAGTGAAAGATTCATTCAGAGTAAGAAATTTTTTATTTTTGTGTTGCCTCTGAGCAACTATGTATTTAATGTGGTTAAGTGTCTGATATCCAAGGAACATTTTTTTTATGAGTTATCTTCCAAATATATTCAAGAACCATCTTTTCTAGCCTATTTTTATTTAAATAACAAATAACAGACACTTTAAAAAATCCATCAAAAATTGTTTGCTAGTACCAATTTAACCTGAATGACATTCAAACACCTAACATCTGACGGATAGAGTATGTGGAAAACCTGGGCTCTACTAGTAAATATTTAATTTTTTTTAAAAAACCCTAACCAACCAGAAATCAAGCCCTCTAGGGCTTGTTGGGCCCTTCACAATCTGATTTAGCAAACTTAGCTAATCTTATTCTGAACTATGGCCCTCTTCTATTCAGCCTTATATGCATCTTTTTAAGAAAACTAACTTACAGGTCCCTACATGCTCTATGCTTATACCTCTGTGCTTCTGCTGATGCTGTTTTGTCTCCCTGCAAAGTCTTTTCATTTCTGTCTGCATGGTCAAATCCTAATCCCTCTGTATAGCCCTGTATGCTTTTATTCTGGTTAAAAAGCAACTTCTGATTTCTGAGAACTCAGCGTTTTTTATATATAAATTCTATGCAGCTTATCATATTTTACCATATATAGTAATGATTTATATTCTCTATTAGAATGTATATACTATATTTTATTTTCCATACCAGTATTTAATATCTTTATGGGCAGCACTGAAGACTGTTTCATCTTGGTATCTTTTCTAGGGACTAGCGTGGTATCTTGATCATGGTAAATATTTAATAATTGTTGAATGATTCAAACAAGGAGAAGAGAAAAACAAAAGTCATGCATGAAAAACCTTGGAATAGTTATGATTAGTGGTCTAACTTTTGAGGTAATTGGGACATAGCAAACAACATAGTAAATATAAAGGTAATTGCCACTTGATTGCCAGACAAATGTGTGAGTGGAATAATTTTCCTTTTTCCTATCCAAAATGCAAAAAGCCCAAAATAAAATTATTTCTTCATGGATGTGACTAGTTATTACATGGGCAAGGAGCAGAGAAACCATTCCCAAAGGGGAAATCACTGACTGTGAGTAACACAAACTGTTGCTATGGAACCTAATCCAAACAAAAACAGAGACCCAAAACGACCCTAGCTTGTCATACTGATATAGGGTGGGTATGTAATGCCAAGTAATGTAAGATACATTTTTTGAAAATCAAAGAAAAGTAATGAAAACTAGTAATCTAATAAGGTCTGTTGGCATGGTGGTATACATGCCGGGCAAAAACTGAAAGTTCATCAGTTGAGCAGCTTTCAGTGAGAGAAGATGAGGCAGTGGGCTACTCTAAGGATTCAAGGGCATGGAAACAGGAGCAGGGTGGCCCTGAGTGGGAAATGACTAGATGGCACTGGGTAGTAGAGTTGCAGAGGAATCGAATACAGAAATCAGAAAATTAAGTATTGCTAAAATAGCCCAAGAAAAATCTGTATTAGGATTTTTGTCAAAGACAAAAGCCAGCATTTAAAACAAAAACAAAACCAACAAAAACACAAAACACAGGAAAAGGAAGAAGCTGTGAAAAATGGAAATTTAGAAGTTAGTGATAAAAAGAACTTTAATTTGCTAAGCTTTATCCTTGGTAATTCACTTAGAATCTGCTGAAAATGAAGTGAAAATATAGTGTATCCAAAAAGACAATAAAAAAAATTGAATCTAAAGGGAGCTCTGGTGGCCTAACGGCAAGAAGCTGCACAGTAATCCCAAAGGCATGCAATTTGAATCCATCAGATGTTCCGCTGGAGAAGAGAGGCAGTCTCCTCCTGTGCCAGTTGGATCTGATTCGACGGTACACAAGGAAAAAAAATTCATTTTAAAAAAAAGGTCATTTAAACAAACAAAAAAAAAAATTGAATCTATCCGTAAGGTACAGTAAGATTTACGGTGAAATTAGGCATTAGCTACGTATAGCACTGTAACTATAAAAGTTACAGTTATCGTAACTCTAAGTGGTAGATATTACTAATAAATGAAATAACTAGGAACCTCATGCACTTACTGCAGAGGGTCAAGGACTGCAGCCTTCAATATGGACTGAGGCTCAATGTCCAGAAGACAAAAATTCTCACCACTGGACCAATTGGTAGCATCAGGATGGATGGTGAAGAGACTGAGATTGTTCACAGCTTCAGTTTGCTCGGCTCCACGGTCAACACTCTTG